AATAAATAAATAATTAAAAAAATTTAAAAAAATAAAACAGAAACACTAAGTCTCCTGGAAGACATGGTTGGTGGAAATCTTGAAGATATATGGGTAGGCAAACAGGTCACGAAGAAAACTCAAACTGCAAGGGAAATATTTCAAAGATTAACAACTGGGAATTCCTCTTATTGAAAAGGTTTTCCACTTCAAAATAAATTAGCAGGAAAGATAAGAGACAGGGGCTGGGGAGATAGCCCAGTAGAGTATCTGCCTGCCTAGCAAGTGAAGGGTCCTGAGTTCAGTCCCCAGTGCCACAAAAAAAAAATAGAGAGATAAAAGACAACTCACATTTGAAAAAAACTCTTAACTAACAAGCACTTAGACATAGTCTACAGTCTAGAATTTACAAAGAGGGCATCTGAGAGGAACACACACTTCTCAGAGGACAGAATACAAGACACAAATAAATACATGAAAAAATGCTCCATATCACTAGCTATTCATGAAACACAAATTAAAACAATTCTGAGATACCATCTCACCCCAGAAAGAATGGTTACCATGCAGAAATCAATCAAGAACAAATTTTGGAGCAGCTGTGGGGGAAAAGGACCCCTTGTCCACTTCTGGTTAAACTGTAGTCTCATTCAACCATTATAAGATCAGTGTGGAAACTTCAAAAAATTCATACTGGAAATCCCATTTAATCCAGCTTTCCCCCTTATGGGAATTTTCTCAAAAGAACTGAAAACATCATATCATAATGATATATGTGCACCTATGTTTATATCAATAGAATTTGTGATAGCCAAATCTTGGAAACAACCAAAATGCTCATCATCTGAGGAATAGATGAAAAAGATGTGGTGTTTCTATACAATGGAGCATTACTCAGTTATAAAGAAAAATAAACTTGAAGTCTTCATACATAAGTGGATGCAACTTGAAGATACATTTGTAAGTGAAAAAACCAGATCCATATGTTTAAATATTGTATTTTATCCCTAGTGTAAGAACTCAAAAGAAGAAATAAAAATTGAAAGGTATAACACAGTTAAATGGAAAGGGAGAGCTTAAGGATTAAACACCAAAGAGAGGGTAAGAAGAAAAGCCAGGAAACATGGCAGGGTAAAACCATACATTTATATAAATAAGATGGTTAAGGCCATGGTCCTAAGAATCTCCATTAGGTTTTTGAAAATAGCAGTTGGTGCGTAGAATTCTCACCCTGACCAACTCTATATGATTTTATCTGTGAACTAGGCAACTACACTGAGGATAGTATTGTGTAATGCTAAAACAATGCTTGAAATATCCATCATTTTGTAATTCTAAATGCTTACTGCTCCTAATATCATATCAATTATTGCTATACTCTCTATAAAGTAACTCTTTGTAAAAAATAGTGTAATAAATGAAAACAAAAGACAAGAAAAAAATGTCATAGGACTCTCCTGCTACAATGGTATATGTGGTTTAATTTCTAAATTTCTGAGTAAACAGGTGAAACCATTTTTGTCATATTCGGTAGGGATATAAAGTTTAGAATATCTATGCTTATTGGAAAATAACAATTCTATTTTACGTATAAGGTGTTTCATATTCAGACAGACAGTGATGTTAAGCCCAACTGCCTCTGTTACAGGACAGTAATATAATTAAGCTTCTCTTCTGGATATTTAATATCTAAGGTTTACAAACCAAAAATTAGAAAAAGAGAGGGGCTGCAAGAATAGCCAATATTTTGGCCCTAGCCCTCCAAGGTCATTGAAGATTCAGGAAATAGGTGAACCTGTGCTGTGACATTCTGCAACTCAGTGGTGTCCCAAATTTTCTGATCAAGAAGATTATGGGGCCACAGAGGAAAGTGATCAACAATTTATAGTGGGCCTAAGGAGAGTCAGCTAGAGAGAAAAATTCTCTCAGGCTTTCACCCAGAGCAAATTGGTCAAACAATTGCTGTGTCTCATCCAGATGGCAGACACTGACAAAAGACCCACAAGGTGCTGTATGTGGTTCCATGGTAAATACTGAGGGGATTTGACTGACCTTGTTAGGTAGAAAAAGTTTCATTTTGAGTTATATTTGTCTTGCTTTAACTTGGTGTTAACCATCCAGCACAAAATTACAACCATGAGGTATAAAAGTAAATCTATATTACTATGGTGATCTGTATAATGCTCATCTCTACAACTTTGGACATTTACCAGTTGTGCTGATAACCCACTGCTAATATAGACTATTGGACTATATTTGGTTATTTTGCTGAATTTAGGTACCTACAATCACTGGTCAGGCATCAAGTATGAAAAGGTCCTTTAAAGACTTACAGCACTGGAACACCCATCTCAGACAAAACAAAACAAAACAAAAAAGGCAGATATAAATAAAGGACCATTTTCTTTCATTTTTAATCTGTGTGTGTTTGTGTGTGTGTGTGTGAAGTAAAATATATGTATATACAAGATAGGATATATACAGCTACTGTCTCTTAGTTCATTGACAAGAAATATTTGTACTAATATTGTTTAGACAAGATATTATGTCTGCATCTTGTCCTCTGAATAACTACTAGGAAGACAACAATATGCAATGTAGTAATTATTGTAACTGTCATACTAACCTGTTTTGAAACTGTCTCATTGCTATTTTATCTTTTTTCTCATTAAAATGAAAAAAAAAACTAATAATAACATCATGGAACAGAGCAATCATTGTTGAATTCCAAAAAAAAGAAATGAAAAAAATAGAAACAAAAAAATTAATAACATACCAATAGAACATTGAGTCCACTGATCAAGAAATGCAGAAATCAATTCCATTCATGGTATCTTCAAACATGATAAATACCTGGAAGTTAGCTGAATCAAAGAAAGGAAAGTCTAGGTGCTGGGCAGATAGCTCTGTATTATAAGTGCTTGCCTGGCAAGCACAAGGACCTGAGTTTAATCCATGCTTCTGAAAAAGAAAGAAAGAAAGAAAGACAGACACACAGACACACAGAAAGACAGACACACAGAAAGAAAGGAAGGAAGGAAGGAAGGAAGGAAGGAAGGAAGGAAGGAAGGAAGGAAAGTTCTCTAAATTTACAATAGGATACAGTGAGAAAAAAGATTGAACTGGATATTAGGAAATGGAAAGACCTCTCCTGTTCCTGGACTGGCATAATTAATGTGCAAATTTTCATTTTGCAAAATTAAAAAGCTGGAAAAAAAAGTCAATAGAAATTAGTACAATCAGTTTAACTATCCTTTTTTTTTCTTTGTTTTTTCCTTTTTCTCATCCCAATTGTTCATTCCTTTCGCTTAGTTCATTTCCCTTTTACTGTATCTATTTACCTCTCAGGTTTTATATCTTTTTTTCTTATTTTAGTGAAAGGTCTACAGGGTGTTCAGGGTCTCACTACTAGATTTGACTGGTAGTGATCCACCTGTTTACAGCCTCACAAGAGCTGGGATTACAGGCATGTGCAACCACATCCAGTTTCAATCAGCATCTCAGCACGTCTTGGTGGCGGGGCCAGCATGGCAGGCTCGGGAATCGAACGGCTAGCACAGCAGGACTGGGGATCGAGCCTCCAGCCCCTGCGCCTGCTTGCAGGCTCTTTAATCTGCTCAGCTATTTGGCCGGCCTTCAAGCTTTGTATGTTATTTCAGGTTCTTACTCTTGGGAGACAATAGGATGTTTACACATGAGGGGCTGATTTATTTCACTTATGATTGTGTTCTGTAGTTGAATCTGTTTACCTGTAAAAGTCTCAAGTTTATCTTTATAACTGAGCAATATTCTATTATATAAAAATATCTCATCTTTTTTATCCATTCCTCAGTTAATGGGCATTTGGGTTTTTCCAAGGTTTAGCTATGACAAATTGCATTGCTGTAAACTTGGAGGCATATATATCACTGTGGTATAATGTTTTCATTTCTTCTGGGAATATATCCATAAGGGGAATACTGGGTTGAATGAGACTTCAAATCCTAGTTTTTAGAGGAGTCTCCACACTGACTTCCAAAGATGTTATGTCAGTTTGCACTCCCAATAACAGTTTTATTTTTCCTCACAGCGTCTCCAACATTTGTTGTTAGTTGATTTATTTCTTTTTTTTTAAAGTAACTTCTTTTTTATTTATTTATTTGAGAGAGAGAGAGAGAGAGAGAGAGAGAGAGAGAGAGAGAGAGAGAGAGAGAGAGAGAGAGAGAGAGAGAGAGAGTGTGGCCAGCTCAGCCCACCAGGGGGCAGGGCTGGCTGGCATGTGGTGTTGGGGGATTGAACCGCGGTCCCTGATGCTTTTGCTAAGCTTGTTCTAAGTAGGTGCTTTAGACCACTGAGCCATCTCTCCAGCCCAGTTGATTTATTTCTGATAGCCATTCTTTCTAGGGTGAGATGTTATCTCAATGTTGTTTTAATTTGCATTTTTATAATGATTTCTGCTATTGAACATTTTTCATATTTTTATTTGCCAATTGTATTTCTTCCTCTGAAAAGTCTATATCCACCTCAGAAACTCATTTTGCGATTGGGTTTTTTTAAATTTTGAGGCCCTGATTTTTTTTAGTTCTTTTATATATTCTACATAGAAATCCTTTGTCTGAGTGACTGTTAGTTGTTTTTCTCAATTTGTGAGTTTCCTCTTCACTTTTTTTGTATTTATTACTGCAGGGTCTCACTACACAGATCAAACTCATAGTGATCCTCCTGTTTTCAGCCTACTAAGAGCTGAGATTACAGGCATGCACCACCACGCCAGTCTCAAACACTGTCTCAGTTTGCCCCAGGGGTGAGGCCAGCACAGCATGCCAGGATCAAACCCTGGTCCCTGTGTCTGCCTAAACAGGTGCTTTGTTCTGCTGAGCTATCTGGTCAGCCCTGTTGGTGATTTCTTTCCATGTGCAAGAACTTTTCAATAAAGTTGAGATCCCAATTTCTGATTCCTTGAAGTTTTTCCCATGTAGTTTATTTTTAATGAACTCTGTAAGTACACCTGTGGTTTCAAGAAATGTATCTAGTCTCTCTCCCAGTACATTTAGTGTCTGTGTTTTAATATTTAGATCTTTGCACAGGGACCATGCTAATCTTCTCTATATCATTCCAAGATCTTTAATGCATTTTCATTTTAGTTTAGTGCATATTTATAGACGTGGTTATAATTTAATTTTTGGCATGTGGAAAGCCAGTTTTTCCAGCACCATTTCTTAAAGAGGCTATATTTCTTCCTGTGAACATATTTGGCTCCTTGACAAAGACAAGGTGGTTGAGTGTGCCTTCTACAGTTTTGATAGGAATATACACTAGTAAAATCACTGTGGAAATCAGTATGAAGTATCTTAAAAAAATGAAAGGAGTAATTTCATTCAATCCAGCTATTTTCTTTCTAAGTATCTTCTTTAAAGGGTTGAAACACTGTATTACAGTGACACATGTTTATAGCAACACAATCTACAGTAGCTAGATTCTGCAAATGGCCTAGGTACCTTTCAACAGATGAGTTGATTGATAA